AAATTCATGAAAAAAAATTCAGTTACGATAGTGAAATGACCTAAAATGTGTCTTTTTTGTGGAGTTGGCACCCACGAGGTACTTAGGTGGGCTCAAGGTAGTATAATCGTTCAAAGGATGGGCAGGGGTTGGGGCACAGAGTCTATGGAGCTGCATGTTCTGAAAAGTGACATTACTCTTATTGTACTATGCAGCCATATAAGATTGCAGGATTGGGTAATTCATATGCACACGTGATTACAGGACCATTGGGAGGTAAAAGAGTTTGCATATGGTATATATGTATCATAACTGAGCAGATAGTTGCTCTGCTGGTATGGTATATATGTATCATAACAGAGCAGATAAATGCTCTGCTGGTATGGTATATACTGTATCATAACAGAGCAGATAGTTGCCCTGCTGGTATGGTATATATGTATCATAACAGAGCAGATAGTTGCCCTGCTGGTATGGTATATATGTATCATAACAGAGCAGATAGTTGCTCTGCTGGTATGGTATATATGTATCATAACTGAGCAGATAGTTCCTCTGCTGGTATGGTATATATGTATTATAACAGAGCAGATAGTTGCTCTGCTGGTATGGTATATATGTATCATAACAGAGCAGATAGTCGCTCTGCTGGTATGGTATATACTGTATCATAACAGAGCAGATAGTCGCTCTGCTGGTATGGTATATACTGTATCATAACTGAGCAGATAGTTGCTCTGCTGGTATGGTATATATGTATTATAACAGAGCAGATAGTTGCTCTGCTGGTATGGTATATATGTATCATAACAGAGCAGATAGTTGCTCTGCTGGTATGGTATATACTGTATCATAACAGAGCAGATAGTTGCTCTGCTGGTATGGTATATATGTATCATAACTGAGCAGATAGTTGCTCTGCTGGAGCTGTTCTTTATATGGGTTTGTGCTCCTTCCAATTCTAATCAACATTATATGTATTATAACAGAGCAGATAGTTGCTCTGCTGGTATGGTATATATGTATTATAACAGAGCAGATAGTTGCTCTGCTGGTATGGTATATATGTATCATAACAGAGCAGATAGTCGCTCTGCTGGTATGGTATATACTGTATCATAACAGAGCAGATAGTTGCTCTGCTGGTATGGTATATACTGTATCATAACAGAGCAGATAGTTGCTCTGCTGGTATGGTATATACTGTATCATAACAGAGCAGATAGTTGCTCTGCTGGTATGGTATATATGTATCATAACTGAGCAGATAGTTGCTCTGCTGGAGCTGTTCTTTATATGGGTTTGTGCTCCTTCCAATTCTAATCAACACATCATTACCCTTGACTTCAGAAAATCAAGCTTTATTGTTCACATTGTTTATCATTTGAATCATTATTGGATTCACAAACACACAAGATAATGATTCATATACACAAACACACAAGATAATGATTCATATACACAAACACACAAGATAATGATTCATATACACAAACACATGACATAACGATTATATTTTAGTGTAGAGCTGTTTACAAATCTCAAGTTTACAGTGGCATCAGAGGTGAATACACAACGGGGCCCGGGGGCTCTGGGGAGGGAGCATCTAGGGAATACTTGTCTCCATACCTGCACCAATGGAGTTATCACTATGACACCTTTACCAGCTAGAAGGCACCTGAAAGCTTGAAGGTCTGAAATAATGCATGAGGCATTTGTGTGCATGAAAGATTATTAATAATGAGAAGATGTAAAGTCTTGATTCACATGTTACATTTTTGAACAGTCAAAGATAAGGAACTTAAATCCGTTCAATTTCCTTTGAATTTTTCAATCCCCATTTTGTGGAAAGTGATATCATTTATTAAAAAGACAGTATTCTGCATGTTATTGGAGACTTGCAATCATGGCCAAAAATATTGGCACCCCTGCATTTCTGTCAGATGGTGCCCCACTTCGCATAGAAAATGGTTCCAATTACAAATGTTTCGGCGTTCTCATGTTTATTTCTTGTGTTTGTATTGGTATGACACAAAAAAGTGGAGGGAAAAAAAAAGCCAAATCTGACACATTCCACGTAAAACTCCAATAATGGACAGGACAAAATTATTGGCACCCTCAATTAATATTTGGTAGCACAGCCCTTGGAAAAAAAATAACTGAGATCAATCGCTTCCTGTAACCATCAATGAGTTTCTTACAGCTCTCCACAGCAATTTTGTTACACTCTTCTTTTGCCAACTGCTCCAGGTCTCTCACATTGGAAGGGTTCCTATGGGATTCGGATCTGGACTGATTGCTGGCCAGTGCAGTAATCTCCAGCGCTTTGTCTGAAACCATTTCTGGGTGCTTTTTTTTACTTGTGGTTTGGGTCATTGTCCTGCATCCGGTCATCCGGTATCCCACCACCATCATCCTCAGATTTGAAAACCAAAGTATAGGCCTTCAACAGACAAGCCTGCCTTCTTACTGCAACTAGTCTGGGCAACGTTTATGTTCCCCTAAGTTCTTCTACATCCTGTACAATGATCCATTGGTGTTAGGACTGGCCATAGTAAATAGGATCTTCCCATGTCCATGTCCTGAGCTATCAACTACAAAGCCAGGCTAATGTACAATATGTGCGATATTTCACGGGATGTCAGTGTCACAGGGCAATATTAGCTGCTGGGACCTGGGCCAGCCATGTCAATGAGAAGTCCCACTCCCCTGTATCTGAAGTCTGTACCTTCTAAAATGGTGAGGAGGAACTGAGATGTTTGCGAAGAGTACACTTAGGCCTCATTCACAAAGGGGCGGTAAAACAGACAGTTGACCTGCGTCTTTACTGCTCCCCCGTCCACCTATAACCTAACATGGTGACTGCTGTTCTTTGCGCCACGGCAAATTTTATGCAGCATGTCATGTTTGCCAGGGAGTACCGCTTTCCAAATGTAACCATTGCAGTCAATTGGACTGCAACGCAATCACCTGCCAAGCCTATACCAATTTGCCACATTAAGGGAAATTTCTTCTAAACCCCAAAAAGTATCAGTTTGGGGTAAACATGTAAGCCGGCAAAACAATTGTTTTGTTTCGTATTTTTCGTTCTTTTGGGTTTTGGGTCTGAACGCCGCTTCATTTCAGAATTCAGATCTTTCAGAATTTCGTTTTAGCTTCAGGTGGGGTTTTCTGATTGGCCAGAAGACAGTCACGTGTCCAATTTAGTTTAATTTTGAACCCAATTCAGAAATGTAATTAAAAGAACATTCAGATTCATTTACATTCGGCCTCATTGCAATTCGGACATTTGGATTAATCTGAATTTGCGAAATTTCGTCCGAATTTGCAATCGGAACCGAATGAAATTCACATGTCTAGCTGGGGGAATGTGTAGAGATACACACAAATTGTTGTTGAAAAACATCTAATCTCCTTTACACATTTGTCTAATGTGTCTGCTAAAAAGAGGAACTTGCAGTAGCTGATGAATTTACCTTTTCTTTCACTTTTTAGGACATAAAAGCAAACACAGGATTGGATGTTCTGGGAATCATAAGTATTTCGACACAGACACTTGTGGAAGAGTTTCCATAAATAAACTGACCATTGAAGGGTTATCTCACTCATGTGTATAGTTCAGCTATTTTAATAAAACTATCAGTCTATCCATAAACACCCCGTTGGTTCTTTATACACCAATACAATATGACGGTTATTTATGGGATGTATGAAGAATAAAGTGCTCATGACACTATAATCTGTATAAGTATATTATATTCCAATCATGACATCTTAGCAGGTTCAGAATATGGACTATCTGTATCTGATGCTTGTGCAAGGAGTAGAATATGGTGCAGCCTTTTGGTCTAAATTAAAGTAAACTTGTGACCAGGCTATGTACATTCATATTATTCACATATTCACAACAAGCGGTGAATAAGCCTTAATACTAGGCCCACTGAACTCTGTAGCTGCAGGTACTGTAAAGTAATTAATCCTCAAATTCTATTTCTCTCAGTAGCTCCAGCTCAAGCTGCTCTCTGACTCAGAACTGATCGGTGCTTATATTAGATACCAGAAAGCTGGAAGGCAGTTGCTGTGATGGGAGAGCAGGGTGAGGTGTGCTGTTTGAGTCACTGTTGGGAAGGGAAGCAAAGCTGCTGAGTCACTGTTGGGAGGTTAGCAGAGCTGATGAGTTACTGCAGTGGAAGAAACAGCAGGGTGAGCTGAGCTGCTGAAAAAAACAACTTGAAGGACTTCATTAGTACTGCTGTAAATTTTAAGGATGAATTGCTCCACAGTGCCTGCGGTTACACAGGTTAATGAGAGCTTGTTTAAAAGCATTTACTTACAGTTAGGAATATGTAAACACTTCAATGTCCTTGGCCTGGCCACAGGCTCACTTTTAAGAAGAATTGCTGGCTGAGGTGGGGTAAGCCATTGGTTTCTAGCAGTAGATGTAAAGCAAGTGGGGAGAAATGGCCGAATCGGCTTATCTTATAATAGGCTCAGTTCACTAATGATGATTAAGGAAATGATAACTCATTAAAAAATCTATGTGAACCAACTTTTATAGACAAAATATTGGGAACACAATATCATGCATGCAGTAACTATAAACCCATTTTAATCCCTTTTTGGACTATACAAGAATGCACAGCAGTAACAACGCAGCATGCATTATTATTTTGTGAGTCCAATGTATGTGTTAGGAAGAGGAAACAAGCTTGCTTGCTGTTCCGTATCAGTTAGCTAGAGTAAGGAAGGGTAGAGTCCCAGCATGCTGCTGTCTTATTAACAGATCATGGGCTCTTATTGTTCTTTATCAGACAGTAGGGTGGGTACAGCTGGCCATACATGTTACAATCTGATTGTACAACAATGTAATATGAGGGTCTGCTTAACAATCCATTTCACTAATATCCCATCTTGCATTACCTAGTTGTTGGTGTTTATACAATCAGACTTTAATGTGTATAGTGAGCTTATAGGGGGTTTCCAGTGAGCATGTGCTGCTCCCAGGCCTTGTCTGCACTCACCTGTGGGCTCTCTTGGTAAGGGGGTGGAGGCACACTCTGGGTGGCCATCATTGATAGAGGTGGTGCTGGGGACACATGTTGCATCATGGGATTGATTCACATCTAGAGCCCTGTTGAGGGGGAGAAAGGTGAATAAAAATAAGTCTGTGTCTTTCTTTTACTTTTTGTTTTATTTTTTTTATATAAAACTATGTAACCATTACAATTACTTGAAGGTCAACTCCAACCAAAAAATGATTTAGGTAATATCTCACAGCTGAACAGCCAATTATTTGTTGAGTTCACATTGTGGAGAATCCACCAGTGACATGTGAATTTGTAATGGCATTGGCAGCTAGGCCATACTGGGTGTAATGGTGGAGATATCTCACCATAGGAACTCTTGAGAGACCAGCATGTAATTAAACTTGCCAGCAACCATTAAAAAAAAACATTTTTTTGGGGGTGGATTTGATCTCAGCAATCAAGCAATAAGCCACTTTTTAATTGATGTGCACTGATATAATTCTGTCTTTTGAGAATGATGCATCATGTGAGCCCAGAGCCATAAACCAAGGGAAAAATTACAGTTTATAAATGTAGATGTCATATGTACCACAAATCCAACTTTATATGTATCCCAAATCCATCCACACCCAACTTCCATCTAAAGTCTACAAGCTGGAAACCTTATGCAGTAAGACCAGACCTTATAGTTAAAGCTGAACTCCAGGCAAACAGCCTATAATCATATAGAATACATATGGGGGAGCTTTATACTTGCCAAAATATTTATTTATCTTTTCAGCCAGTCTTAAAATTTACAAAGCCCTGCTAAACAGCACAGCCTGGTTGGTGACCTGACTTTTAAGTTAAATGATAGAACGTGGTCACCTCCTCCTTATGCACAGCCTGATGAGCTCATCCCTGTGCTCACTCTTCTCTTTCCTCTAGTCAGCATGTTTCTTAACAGCTCATGTGCACACAGCACTCCTGATTGGCTCCTAGTGCTCCTCCTTCCTCTCCAAGTCATATTTCTACTTCACATGAGATCATAAATAGTGATTAGAAATCAATATAAGGGTACTCACGTAAATTGCATTGAAAAAAAAAATAATTTTTAAATTAAATTCAATTTAATTTAATCAATACACAACTTTATAAATTTATATTTTATATATTTGTCTGGAATTTAGTTTTAGGGCTCATTCGCACCTGGTGTGTTAAGCTGGGTTGATCAATATTAATCAATGCAGGCACACCACAAGGGCATATAGAAAACAACTGTTCTCTAGGCGCCCACTCCACACCATACATGTGCAGTGGTTCGCTCACTTCCTGTTCCAATGATGGTGGTCACCAAGTCGGAAATTAGTGCAATCCCCACAATAGGACCAAGCAACCTTTGTTGGGTTTTTGTTACTGTCTTTGTACCCACTGAGAACCTTTACCTCCCTTCTTGTCTCTTTTGTGTTGGTCAAAGAAAAACAAGGAAAGGAGATCTTCCAACAAGGGCAAGGACAACGGTTAAAACTTGACAGAGGGTAGGAAAAGCTACATGCTTTTGAGGACAGTGAGGTAAATATTTTGAATAGAGAGGACAACTGGTGTACATTGCACATCCAGCAATAATGAGACGTCCACTGCTTGTAACTTATAAATCATTATAGAGCCTTGGCTTTCAGGTCCAGCATAGAACCCACCGCTTACAGGCTAATACTGATACCAGGGTATTATTAATGCAAACTATGAAATGCAGACAGGAAAAATAACGAGCTTGTTATTTATCAGCTAATTAGGGTGTGTTGACATTAAACCCATTAGACCAATTAACATGCTGTTACTGCTGCAACTGTTTGCCAGAGCACCAAGGGGTTAATCTTGGTAGGCAATTAATGGTGGCGGTGTACCTCGAGGTGGTACACCCCAGAGATGGTATGGTCCCATTTTGTTGCTAATACAAAGTGCAGTTGAGAGCACTGTTAGGGGGCACCGATAACATGGCTGGTTACAATGAGTTGGATGCTTCTACCTCCATAACACACATTTCAGAGAGTGGTACGGAAATGAAGATTTGGGAAATGTAATCCAATGTCAACAAACCACAGCTGGGGAACCACTGTACATAATAAACAGTGCTCCGGGGAGGTGCCATGATAACAGAAAGGCCTGACTGTATTATAATTAGATAATTACCAAAAGGATTATATCATGTGAGGAACATGCAACATTTCCAGAGTTAGAAACATTTTAACAAGAAAGTAACTTTGACGACTTCCAACTTGGCATCTGACCACATGCATAATATATCAGTTAGCTATGGGTTCTGCAAAATACTATTTATTTAAAAAAAAGCATAAATTCAACACTGAGAAACCACAAAATTTTATTTTTGTAAAGCCCATCTCCTGGCAAACAAAAAACTACCTTTGCAGTGGGACTATCTATACACTGCAAGGTTAAATGCTAATTTTTGTCTAGGGGACTGGAGTCAAGCAGATTTACTTACCTGATCCCCACTCCTGCCAGCTCCCCTCGATGTTTGATTAAGTTTTAGGGTAACATGGATTAAGTGACAGGGATAAGTATAAGAGGAAGCCTTAGGAGAAATGGAGAGGGCAAACACAAATGGATTGATTTGCGAAAGGCATATCAGCTGTTCACTTTGCAAGGAGACGGTCTCTTAGGCTGGACACACACCTTACAACCATGGTTGTAAGGTTGATGGTTGTAAGGTACTTAAAAAAACGTACGATCTGCCTATCTTGCATAGGCAGATCGTACTTGCGATGATCGCAAGCCACGCTTCCGATTACCGCAATGCCGAACGGGCAGTGTGCGCTTGCGCACACCGGCCCGTACGGCTGTCATCGTACGGACATGCCACAAACCCGCCGAATGTCGTACGATGCTCGGCGGGTTCTCGAACATGTCCGTAAGTTAAAAGTCGTGCGACCTTACAGTAGTAGAGGTCGCACGGCTTCCACACACCTTACGATAATCGTACGATCGCGGGATTTCCCGCGATTATCATACGATTATCGTAAGGTGTGTGGGGACCTTTAGCTTAGTGAATAAGGTGAAGCTCTGCTGACTTCCATCATCCAATTATGTGTAACAAAAATACTGTTTTGTTTTATTTTTCCATGCACACGATTGGGTATTAATTGCAAAGTGAAGTTTCACCTCATTCACTAAGCTCAGGGAAATATACCGTGCAAAGTGTAAATTCACTTGCAAAGTAAACAGCCTTATTAGTAAATGAACCCCAAAATATTTTGTGTCAGGCTATACACTGTATATGTCATGTATGGAGAAGCATGTGACTTGTGGGCACTTTCACGTATGGAGGAGCATGTGACTTGTGGACACTTTCAAGTATGGAGGAGCATGTGACTTGTGGGGACTTTTAGGTATGGAGGAGCATGTGACTTGTGGAGACTTTTAGGTATGGAGGAGCATGTGACTTGTGGGGACTTTTAGGTATGGAGGAGCATGTGACTTGTGGGGACGTTCAAGTATGGAGGAGCATGTGACTTGTGGGGACTTTTAGCTATGGAGGAGCATGTGACTTGTGAGGACTTTTAGGTATGGAGGAGCATGTGACTTGTGGGGACTTTTAGGTATGGAGGAGCATGTACCTCATGCTATGTGATAGAACTCAACCAATCAGCACTCTCACACAGGAAGTCCATAGCCCTGTGTAAGGTATGACTCCAGCATCTCAAAGCTTACATATGGCTTTCCATTCATTCACTGTGATTGAATGGAGTGGTTGGTGTAGTGCATGGAAGGGAAGTATATGTGTTTGTTTAGGTCTACATTATGGTTAACCTTTTGCTTTCCTTACATTGTACCAATTCACTTTATGTGTTTTTTCCACAGATGATTTTTTTCTCCACAATTACTTTAGGTTTATGTTATGTGGCCAATGTTTAGCAGAGTTCTTCTTCAATACTATGTAAAATGAATAGACTGACCTAAAGTAAATGGAGGGAGTTGACCTACAGTACACAGAGATTTTACCAGTGTACGGTCTGTGTTTAAATTTCAAAACATGGACAGTAGGCACCTTTCTCCTTGACAATCTGTTGACAATAATGCACAGGAGTAAATGGCAATGTAATAAAAAAAACCCAAAACAAAACGTTGGTGAAGACTCAGTAGGAGACCGGTGTGCAATCAACCCGGATTGTTTTTGTAACATGTCGGCGGCAGCCACCAAGCCAGGATAATGGTATGTGTTTGTTTTACTGGAGGCACAACACGGAGGCAGAGCCGGGCCCGCTGGCGCTACCCGCAAATACTGAGCCGAAATAATCAAACAGTAATTGCAGATGAAGACACAGCCCGGCTGGAGCAAGTGATTTCTAATCAAGAAAGAAAAGAAATATTGGCTGAGGGATTACCATAAATTTCAGGCCAGGGTATTTATTACTCTCATGTGGCTCAGGTGGAGGAAAATGCAGAATATTCATTTACTGTGAGTGAGGAGAGATGCTGAGAATGGAATTTATTAATCCCTTTGACTCCTTGAAAATCCACAAGATTAAAGAGGTTGATATAT